ACTCTTTCAACCTCTTTCTTGTGAGTTAAATCCGACACTATGCCATATATTTCTATGCAGCTAATTTTTTAAGCTATTCTAGATGTTAAATGGTGCTTATTGTTGATGATTGATTTTAATTGTATCTTATTCATTGGATAGACCAAACTATGATGAATCATTAGTTTTTCTACTTGAGACTTAAAATCTATGCCTATGTCTACTTGATGAGTATCAATTATTAACGAAATCCGTTGGAATTAACTTTATGACACTGGCAAATTTGATGAAAAAATTACTGTATTCTCGTTTATAGCATGACATTAAGCAACTTTTTATTTATATTGGTAATTTCATTCATTGTCCATTTCTTCTACGAAGTTTCCTTGGCTAGTTTGGTGCTTTTGATTTTAGTAGGAAAACGATACATAAAAAATCTGATTATTTGGAAATTAATTTGCATGCTCGTTGACTTTCTTTAATTTTTATTCTTGCTAAAATTATTGGATGTTTATCATCATTTTATTATTAATTAGGGTTAAACTCAGCTATTGCCTATTTTCTATTAAAGGAGCTTATTAGTATAATATAATTGGTAATTTTTACGCTATAAATTTTCTTCTTTGGCATGCGTTCATCTATTGCATCAGAAAAGAATATTAAAAGACTGGTTGGAAAGATTCTGAAGCAGCTCATGAGTTAGAAAACAGTCGTCGAATAGATTTTCTTAAAAATAGTAATAAAAAATGATCTGTAATGACATTTTTTTTTTGTTTGGCTGATGGAAGGAGCTATCCCCACTTCTTTCTTATTTTTGCAGGTTCTGTTCTTCTCAACAATGACCAGATTGCTTGATGTTATGGAAGAGTACTTGTCTTGGAAACGCTACAAGTATCTTCGTTTGGACGGGCACACATCTGGAAATGACCGTGGAGCCCTAATTGATGAGTTCAACCGGCCTGAGTCTGAAACTTTCATATTTCTTTTAAGGTTTCTATTTTTGAATTGACATAAAGATACAGCTTTGAATTCTTTCCTTAGGCTGGGTTAAAAAATCATCCTTAAATTTAGTTTGTTTTAAATGAAATGGACCCCTAGTTTTTCAAATTTTCTAGATTTAGTCTACTTTTTTAGGCAATTTTCCTGCAATAGTTCATTGATGGATGAGCTATTCTTATTGCAACTTAGGATGTGAATGATCAAAGTTAGCTGTTTCCAAATGGTTTAAATAAGAACTAAATTTATCCTTTTATCAATGATTTTTGGTATTTTCTTTTGGTGAGCAACGGCCAAAAACTTATGGGGCGCTATGCTTTTACTTTTTTTACATTTTAGAGACTAATTTTTGGTTGGTATATCTAATGCAAAAATGAGTGATTACTGTTAGAAAAATGCTGCCAAACATATTGTTAATACTCTGTTGCAAAAGTCAATTTATGTGTAAATATAATTATTCATTTTGCCTCCCTGAAATATTCATAAAATTTTAACCTCAAATACTTGAATTAAGCAACTTGCTGACTTCATAAATATTTCATGCAGCATTCGAGCTGGTGGTGTTGGTGTAAATCTCCAAGCAGCTGATACTGTCATAATTTTTGACACTGACTGGAATCCTCAGGCAATTCTTACTCTCAACTCTTATGCAAAAAAAAATTATTGTTTAATCTTTTTCTGCTTTTTGTCGTTGACCACGATTACTTTACTATGAGTTCAGGTCGACTTACAAGCACAGGCCAGAGCTCACAGGATTGGACAAAAGCGAGATGTGCTTGTTTTGCGTTTTGAGACGGTTAGTTGTGATTTCATTCTGCTTGAATATTTTTTTAGATGTATACATTGTTTTACAAACTGTTTTATTTTATTTTTATTTTTGTTTCTTTCCTATATTAGACTACTTGACTACTTTCATTTAGTTTGCAGCTAGCTTAAATATATTATGCTACATGCCAGTGGACTCACCCCACATGTATTAATGCCAAATAAAGTTCATAGGCATACTTGGAAGTTTTTAGTTATAAACTAGAGATAAAACATAAAAAAATGAAATTGCTTCAGTATCCATCAACATCAATTACTACTTTGGTAGAATATTAGTTTAAATGAAGATAATCAATGAATGAACTTACTACCGATAACAGCTACTGAAATGCTGAATCAACAAAGTTAGATAAGTGAATTTTATCCTATTACTTTTCGACATCTCAACTTACTATATATTTGTAAGATGTTAAACGAAAACGAATTGTAACTTGGCATCTTTTGTACCAGGCTAGTCATGTATCACCCTCTTAGGCACTCGGATGGAGGTTGCTATAACATTTCACACTACTAATGTGGGTGTTGTTTCCAATGCCTAGTGGCCCTCACGTGTGTGAGAGTTTTTCTGTAAGGTGAAACAAAAATGTATTGAGATATGTTGATATGACAATTGCGCAGGATAGAAACAAATGATCCAAGTTAAGTGCAAATGCTCAAAATCATTATAAGGTATCAAAACGAAATAAAAAAAAAACATTAGGAATCAATGGTTTATTACAACAACAACAAGCCTTTGTCCCACTAATTGGGATCAGCTACATTATCTTTTCCTGCATCATGTCCAATTAAGTGTCATATTTTTATTTAATTCTAATAAATTAAGATCATTTTTATTCAACATGCCCATGTCTTTTTAGGTCTACCTAACATAAGTCAAATTTAAAACATCTAATCTCTTTACAGGGTCATCAGATGGTCGACATTTACTGTTGACCAAACCATCTAAGGCAACTCTCTCTAATCTTGTATGTTACTAGAGCTACTCCAACCCTTAACACAAATATATTCATTTCACATTTTGTTTCTTGTTGTAAAGCCACTCATCCACCTGACCATTTTTTATACAACATGCCCAATTTTTTATAAACATAAAATTTTTTATTATCTTCCAACTTTGAGCATTTATCTTTCAACCGGAGTGTTGTCTTGTCCACTTGACAAATTATATCTATAAAAAATGTATCATGATATCTTGATGCAAATCTTATCTCCTTATGGTTTTGGGCCATGAAACAGAGATATGGATGCAAATATTTCAAACATTTTAGCTTTAATTTTGACGCTGACAGATCGTCATTTGTTTGTGAGGAAGCATTAAGAGTTGGAGAAACAAATATAATTTGTTAAACGCCCACAAAAAGTAGGTGGAATACATTCAAGTTGAGTTGCTAACTTAAAGTAAAAAGAGAATGAGCTTAAGGAGATGGATGAAGAGATGGACGTTTGCAGATCAACTGATGGTAAAGAGAGAATAAATGATGATGAATATGGCATAGATAGTACGGATGATTTAATTATTCTTAGGCTATAGTGTGCAAACTTATTCGTTTAATTATACTTTTCTAGAACAATTTATTTAACAATATTTTTTAGTTTGGAATGCATTGGAACTTCAAAATAATTTTTGACTATTGTAATATTGCTTTCTAAAATCACTTGATGTATTATTTCTTATAAGCAATAATTGTCTCCATGAAAGAAATGACAGCACAATTAAGGCAATAGTTTGTAGCTTATATAAGTGGTAAAATGATCATGTTGTTGATCCAGTCAAAGATGAACTGTTTTACAAGAACAATAAAATAGTATTACTGGAAAAAAGGATGATAAAAGATTAAATTAATATATACCTAAATTATTTTGAACAAATTGTTTATGTTGTATATTGAAATGACACATATTAGACACTTTGCAACAAAATTATTACATTTAAAGCATCGCATTGTATACGATAGAATATTCCTCTAAAACCTGAAACCCATTTTGCATTTGTACATCTCAAATTCTTTTGAGAACTTATTGAAGCTTTGTTCAAATTATAACAAGAACTCTATAGATACTTAAATCATCCCTATGGAAGGAATTCAATTTCCCCCCCTCTTCGACTCTCACTCATTGTGTATGTGATCCCTTCATGGGTCCCTTCTTCAATTTTAACAAGTCTTTGTTGAAGTCAGTGGATTTCTCATTGCATCTCATCCATAATAAGTTCCTGAATGGCTTTCAACTCTTGTTCTAGGGTTTATGTTTGGGGGGTGAAAGAGGGTTTAGGGGCTAATTTAGGGTGGCAAAAAATTTTTTGGGTAGCTGATTTGAAAAATCATCTAGGGGGAATGATTTTTAGTCGAGTTTGGATTAGGTGTTGGTGGGTTTTGGTAACCCTACGTCAATGGATACTGAGAGTCAACCAAACATCAATGGAAGACAAATATTATCACTCAATTCAAATATGAAATTACAATAAAATAACTTGGAAATATGAAATCGTTACGAAAACAACACACACCATTAAACTTGGGTCGGTGTCGTCTAAGGGATTGAAAGGTGGCGGGGTGGTGGAAAGAGGCGGTTAGCAAGGATGGACAACAAGAAGTCGGGGGAAGCAAACTATAGGTAGTTGTTACAATGGGTAACATCAAGGTGGAGGGGGAGAACGTCAGTTCTGTTGTTTTCAGAAGGACGCCAATAAAGGTGGAGTGGCGAGTGGAAGGAAGCAGGTGCGAAAAAGGGATGAAGAAGGGCATAGGAAGGACATGCACCACCTCAGGATTGAGATTCAATTGGAGCTCCACTCAAAACCCTTGTATATAACCCTAGAAGGGAAAATGATACGTCGACGATTGTCCCGGAACAAACACAACAAAACTAACTCTATACACCAACGAAATGCAAATAAATAGACCTAGGATAATTATGAGTGGCCCCCCTCCATTGGGCAACACTCCCAACGTAGTTAGATGGCCAACCCTTGAGAAATTTGGACTGAACGTTCTAGATATAGGCAGATACCTCCGTTAGTGTGGGAAGGGTAGAAGAGGATACACACCATCTCAAAAATGAGATAAAGCCGAAGCACCACTTGAAATGCTTGGATATAACCCTAGAAAGGGATAGTGAGACGCCAATGGCTATCCCGAAACAAACTACAATAGAAATTAACCTTAGAGACTAACAGAAATAAATAAATAGTCCTAGATGACTAGAAGTGGGTCCCACTCCAAATGTATTGCACTTTCAGACCTTGGAGGGTCGATCGACCCTCAGAAGCTTGGACCGAATCGGTTCAAGTGTGTCCCAGGTGCTCCGAGGCCCCAAAAATCCGAATCATTCTCCCAAGATTGTGGGAGCTTCGACATCATTTGTTGAAGCTTTTGCCTCCTCATAGTATGGAGTCAGGTCAACCATGTTGAAGATAACAAAAATGTTGTAGTCTCCCTTTGTTATAGGGTCTTCGATCGTATCCCTAAAACACCTAGATCTCCCTATCGGATGCACTATCCTACAAAACACTTGGAAATTTTCCCGAATTACAAGTAATAATCTTTATTGTCCAACTATTTGTGGGTATCTTGTTGAACTAAACTGGAATTTTGTGTCAAACATACTCCACATAGTCCTCCAAACGTCTTAGATGATTTGGTCACAGTAAACGCCGACCATCTGATGATCCGATTAGAAGAGTAGTTGTTTTAAATTCGACTTTTGTTAAGAAAGGCAGAGGTAGACCTAGGATGACTTGGCATATTGTGAATGTCGACTTATGTTAAGAAAGGCAGAGGTAGACCTAGGATGACTTGGCATATTGTTTTAAATCCGAAATGCAAAGCAGCCAAAAAGCTCTCACAAACAAAACCTAAGTTTGGGAATATGATTGAGAATGTTGGAGTAGTAAGACTCAACTTGGCTACCATCTGTGTAGACACTATATTTTCACAACTACATCTATCAATGATAAGGCTACACATATTTCTCTTCACATTGCATCGAGGATGACTGACGTTCTAGCGAAGCCACTGCTACTTTCTTGTAACCTCAATCTGTAGGACCCATCAAACTACAAGCATGCCACCCTCATCAGCTAGAAGCTGGTACCCCTGCACATCGCATCATCTTTTTTTGTCTCCAATAGCATTGTCCATTTCTTCTACTGCTAACAGGATGGGGGAAGTAGGGAAAGCGGAGGTGACGTGTCCAAACCCATGACATCTGAAACACTTCCTTGCAGACACTGTGCTTGGTTTATTGCTTCTCTTGTACTTTTTTTTTCCCACTATGACTAGCTCTATCATCATTATGGACTTTTTAACACCTTTCTCGTGTGGGTGACAGCCTGAATGAAGACAGGGTCATGATTGCTTTTGTTGTCTCTTCACCTTCAATGCCAAGCTCTGAATATTTATCCGACCAATAAGGTTGTGGATAAACAACATTACTGATGATTGGCTTCAGATTTCCCAAATATTTGACTATGGTGTTCTCCTCCGGCTCTGTAAATACACATTTCAACATTAGTTGCTCAAACTTTGTTGTGAACTTCTCTACAAACAATTCTCTCTCTTGTAGCTCGAGATTCAAGAACATATTTTGGCAGTAGTGTGGGGGTATGTCTTCCTCTACATCTTCATTTTATCCCTCGTAGTGATCTTGCTCCTACTTTTTCTCCGTCTCTCTCTTCAGATTCTCCCACCATAAAGAGTCACTCTTCTTCAGCTTCATGGCAGCAAATTTGACTCTTCTATCACCTGACACCTCCTTATACTAAGAAAATCCTCTCAATAGTCTATAATCACTCAATGAAGTCATCCAGATTCATTCTCCTTTAGAAATTTGGTAAGTCTACATTTTCTCCCATATTTTTATTTCCTCAAAAAATCAATCTACCCCTCGGCCTACTCTAATACTGAACCCCAAAGCGCAATGACATAACTTATTCTTTTCTGGAATCATTCATATAGAAGAGATTCAGTTTTTCCTCCTCTCCTCTTTGAATCTCACTCTCACGATCTGTGATGATAACTCCTTGGGTCCTTTGCTCAATTTCAAAAAGTTTTTGTTAAAGTCTGTGGATTTTCTGCTGCATCTCTTGATCTCTTCCATGGTAAGATCCTAATCGTCTTCCAGCACTTGTCTCCTTAGTGGTATGGTTTGGGTTTAGGTTTGGGAGATGAAAAAGGGTGTACAAGGCTGATTTAGATTACACAAAAATAAGTTTGCTGATTTTGAAAATCAACAAGGGCAATTAGGGTAAGGTCAAAGTTTCGGTATGGTTTGGTGCGTTTAGGCCACCCTAAGATAGAATTAGGGTTGAGCTAGCCCTCATACCAAATGATATCGGGATTTAACAAACATCCAACTGAAAGCAAATATTATTAATGAATTCAAATTAGAAAATACAACAAATAATGAGTAAATCTGAAATTGCAACAAAATAACACATAACACTAGAACTAGGGTGGAGATGGTGTTGGCTAGGGGTTTGGACCTCCGTGGCAGAGGCAAGGTGGGATGGCAAGTCGGAAGGTGGCGGCAACTAGGGGAGGGGGGGCAAGCAGCGAGGTTAATGATGGTAGGTTGATCCCAGAGGTAGCAGCAAGCTGGAAGGGGTGGAATGGTTGGAAGGTAGCGGGGCTGAGGAAGAACAACAATTTAGTTTTTTTTCTTAGGGGCGGCAGCAAGGTGCGGTGGCGAGGGTGAAGGGGGAATGATGTAGGAGAGTGGTGGAAGGGCAGAAGAGGATACACGCCAATTTGGGAATGAGATACAACCACAACACCACTCAGAAACCTTGGATACAACGCTAGGAAGGGAAAAGGAGACGTCGATGATTGTCCCGAAACAAATCATAGCGAAAACTAACCCTAGGAAACAACATAAACAAATAAATAATCTCAGATAATTAGGAGTGATTCCCACTCCAATCTGGTTACACTTCCCCACCATATAGTTTCGGCCGACCCCTCGGAAGCTTGCACGAACCGATCCAGATGCACTCTAGGTGGCCCCCTCCGGACACCAGCATTACATCATCTAGCAATTTCACATTCGTCAAAGAACTACAAGCATAAATCACTCCCTTTTGCCTACACTTCTCAAATGCATGCTTACTCAATTATGTCAATAAATTTTTACTTAATTGGGAGCATGGATTCATATGCAAATTCAGATGTACCCTTCATTTTTTAAGATTTAAAACTTCCCTTCTCTCGCTTGTTTTGAAAACATATGCTCTTAAAATTAATTAATATCTAAATAATATGGCCGGGGTCTATCCCAAACAACTTGCGCAGCATCTATGGATAGCACATAAAACTAAATTCTTTTGATATAAGTAGTTTAAATTTTTGGACTATTTTAACTCACCTTTACGTTGTAACATTTATTTTCATCCGTGTTAAGGTGCGTACTGTTGAAGAACATGTTAGAGCTTCAGCCGAGCATAAATTGGGAGTTGCTAATCAGAGCATAACTGCAGGGTTTTTCGACAACAACACAAGGTTCCATCTTTGTTATGAACCTTATATTTTTCTTTTGGCCATTCATTTACCTCAATGTTCTCTTTTTATTTGGTTTGATACTGTGATAGTGCTGAAGATAGAAGAGAGTATCTCGAGTCTCTTCTCAGAGAATGCAAGAAAGAAGAAGCAGCTCTTGTTTTAGATGACGATTCTCTAAATGATCTTTTAGCTCGCAGGTTATCTTTCCTTTTCACTCTTTATGATTTTTGCAAATTACTAAACTAAAGAAGTTTTTTTTTTCTGGTTTTCTGTGCACTTGATTGTTCTTTTCTTATTTGATTGACTAGTTTTTTTTTTTTGTTGTCTTTTTTTTTTTTTTTTTTTTTTTTACTATTGTATTTGTTTTGGAATTGTTACAGTGAATCCGAGATCGATGTATTTGAATCTATTGACAAGAAAAGACGTGAAGAAGAGATGGTATGTTTGTTGAGTTTTAATTTGCTAATTTTGCTTGCCCAGTTATTTTCATGTTTTAAAGCTTTGTGAATTATTTTAATTAATGCTGCCTTGCAATGTATCTTTTCAGGCAGCATGGATTAATTTGGTTCAGGTAAATAAAATGGATTCCTCGAAGATGTTACCCATGCCTTCTCGTCTTGTTACGGAGGATGACTTGAAGCCCTTTTATGAGGCGATGAGGATTTATGATACGTCCAATGGAAGTAATGTGCCCATCATTACAAAAAGAAAAGTTCCGAATGTAGGAGGCCTGGATACAGAGCAATATGGGAGGGGCAAGCGGGCACGTGAGGTTTGTACGGCTCACTTCTCTTAGGCCTTGGCTCAAGTTACTCCATTGAAAGAAGTTACTTACAGATCTTTTTTTTTACATTTTAAAATCTTTTGAAGATTCGTTCTTATGAGGATCAGATGACCGAAGAAGAATTTGAGAAAATGTGTCAAGTTGACTCCCCTGAATCAGCCATTGCCGCTGATCCATCACAAGATTTATTTCTAACAAAGATCCGTGACCACCCTCCTAAATTGATTGATGTTGTGCTTACACCACAACGACCAAATGATATCTCAATTCCCCCAATTGGATCTTTGCAACCTAGCAAAGATCCCCCAGTGAAACGTGGAAGAGGCAGACCAAGGAGATCGTCGGTGCTTATGGCTGCTCCTGTATCAGTGCCACCTGCTCCTTTTCCTCCAGTTAACAAAGGCGAACTGGAACCTCATAAAGAGACTTCTGCTGCTTCTGCAGGTGCTGTTCCGCATTTGGCTGCACTCAATGATGTTACTGCAAATACTATACAACAGTTGGGTGTAACTGCCTTGCAGTTTTACCCATCACCTGGCACCAGCATGCCTCTTAAAGCAAGGGGGCGGCCAAGTAATGGTGGAGAAACCACTAGAGGGCGTGGTAGAATGCAAAAATCTATTTTCACTACTGTTGGTGCTCAGTTAAATGCATATACTGCAATTCAGAGTGGAATTGATGCAACAATGAGTAGACCTGCTGCCAATGTTTTAGCTAAAGGGAACTCTACCTTGAATGTTGTAGCGGGGGTTCCTAATTTTGTTTCTATTGGTCATAATATTACGCAAATGCCAGGATCTTCAGCTGTTGTTGAAACACCTGCTATCAAAGCCTCCAGTTCTCAATTGCCAGAAATAGTGAATAGCGTAATGCCTGTTGTTGGGGAGAAAGAAGCCAGAGATGACACTTCTGCATGTGAGACTAAATCAGCTTGTATTGTCTCTAAGTTAACTGTAACCAAGGATCAGGTCAGTATCCTGCAGCCAAAGAATCCTGACGGTGCGAAAACTGATTCAGAATATTCAACTGCTGAGCCAAACTTTGGCTCATCTGTACCGGACACATTTAGTCAAAAACAAGGGCAAACTGAGAAAAGAGTTGATAGCTTACTAGACAAAACCCAGAAAACAAAACATAACTTTGTAGGCACATTAAATGACAAGCAACCAGAAGTTGCAATAAAGGATGTGAATTCCATTCAAATGTTAGATAAGACTCTATCTGATCAGATGAACCAAGAGAGAACGCCTAGTATAGAATCTCAAACGTTTAATAATTTGAAATCTGATGATAAGCCCCATTCAACATCAACCGTTAACAGCTCATTGGAATGCCATGGTAGCTCAGTTGTTGATAAAGTAACAGGTCGTGAACCTCAAAGTTCAATATCCATTGAAGCTGCCAAATTCCAGGAGAATTCTATTATCACAGGAACTCCAGCATTAGTGTCCACAAACATGATTCATGAGAAATTGACAAATCAGGTCCCAACATGTCAAGTTTTAGATTACAGAGCAGTACCTGTGGTGATCCATAGAGATTCTGAAAATAGAGCTTCGGTAACAAGGAAAAAGGCAGCTGCTCGTGAAACAAGAAACAGATGCAGCACCTCAACTGCAGCTTGCGAACGGCGTGCCCGACAAGCAGGATTGAAGCTGGCAGATGGTTCTAAAAAGGCAGAGACCAGAGGGAGAACTAGTAAGGCAGCTACCATGAAAGCAAAAGAGGAGAGTGGAAGCATGCAAACTCTTCCTGGTACACCCAGGTCTCAAACTGCTCAGGGTTCTGATGTTTCCTTCCTACAAATAGAAACTTCAACTGCAAAAACTGCTCCTTCAGCTGCAAGGAATTTTGAACAGACTGTAACAAAAGAAATTAAATTTGACCAAGGTATTACTTGTGCTTCAGCATTGGATCCAAATAAAATGTCTCTTTCCAAGGGTAATGTTGAAAGCAATACTATTTCATCTTCAAGCAATATGGAATGTGGACTTGTTTTGGGTCTCCCTGTTAATGCAACTATTCGGGTAACTGATGACAAAGGTGACAATTTCAAGAGTACTGGGATTGATCAGTTACAAGAAGAGCCCGTGAAAGCTGGCATAACATGTGTAAGACCAGAAGGTTTTTCTGTGGCAGAAGACAAGCAGCTGGTTTCTTCAATTAAATGCCTGGCCTCAGAAAGAAATTCTTTGCCCGAGGTTTTCGAAACAAAAATTACAGGCGGGTCTTTCGTGAAAAGCGACGCACAAAACTCCAATGCACAACCAGCAGGTTTGATCTTACCACATAAGCTTGAATTGTCTGTAATTTTTGAATTTTTATGGACATTCATTTCTACAGACTTCTAAACTATGCTTGCCATTATTCCAGTTATGATTGTAACTGAACAGGAGAGACCTGTGCCTCGTGTTTTGGAAGCCATTGACAAACCTGCTGAAGAATTGGAAACTTCTGATCTTGGAAAGATGGTAAGGGATGATTCTCCTTCAGATAATCTCAAAGAACAATCTGAAATAATACAGCCATCATCTGGCTCAGTCACTTCTGATGAAAACAGCTGTAAAGCTCCTGCTTCTTTGGAAAATGAGAAGGATCACAAAAGCACCTCAGCAGATCTTGTCAAAGCATTGCCCTCGGAAAATAGTGCAGAAATATCACAGCAGGACCATTCTGCTCTACAAGGTCCTAATCTTATTGGATCATCAAAACCAGTAGCGCAGAAGCATAATGCATCTGATGATATTTTAACAGTTTCATCTGAACTTGTTGGTCTTGAAAGGGAGCAGCAAGCTGTGGCTGTTCCACCTATTGAGGAGCAGCATGCATCACTTTATTCACCCTCAGATTTGAAATTATCAGAACCTGTTGAACAAACAACGGAGAAGCACCATGCTACAGATTCTTTGAAGGGTTCTAGTTTTACCGAATCAGTTGGGAATACAACTGAGAAGATCAAAGCGATCGAGCATTATAGGGATGACAAGCCATCAGTATCTTCTATATCAAGTTCTGACAACAGTCATGGATTATCTAATGCTTTGACAGTCTCAGATATAGAATCAGATATGTTGAGGAATGTTGATGGCATCATACTTGCCCTGCCCACCGAATCTGAACCTCTTCCAGTGCATCCTGATGCTACAGAGATAAAGCGGGCGAAAGCACCATTGGGTATGAAAACTAGGAGCAGCAGCGGGGACAAAAAAATACTGGAAGCTGCTAGAGTAGAAGATAAGGCTATTGAAAATAAAACAGCTGAAGATGCTACCAAGCATATTGAACAAACTGGAATGGCCCAGTCATCGAATGTGAACCAGGAGTTGAATTTAACTTGTGATGATGCCAATCCATCTTCGTCCCCCTCTTTGGGGGATGAATTGGCTGTCTCCGGCGAGGAACTCAGCACGGCTAAAGCAATCAAAGATACCAACTTTGTTTTAAGAAGTTCATCAGATGTTGGTTTTCCTTCTGCTACTGTTGTGCGGGAGGATTCAGATGTTTGTAGGGATGCTTCTTGTTCCTCGCCTTCGGTCTTGGAAGAAACTCAGAAAGCCGAGGTATCTATTGATGCCGAGAATTTGGATTTGACTGAAAAGGACCCCGAGTTTGAGAATGTTGAGGATTCTATGAAGTTAGGTTCAGCTGAAATTAAACCGGATGATAAGGAGGATTGTAAAGTTATGCAAGAAAATGATAAGGTTGATGAGGATCCTGGAAGTTGATTGAATTTTCATTAAGATCCGATTCACTAATCAAGAATTTTACTGCGTTGAAGTTATCGGCAGTTTTTGGCCTGACAAACTGCTTTTAATATATGAATGCAGTTGTTATGTATTTCAGCTCTCTTGTGTATTAAATGGAAATGTCCCTCATTCTGTATATTTCATTATTTATCTGCTCGAGTGAACGATCATCGTCAACTTCAAGCATTATAGGAAATTTTATCTGCTCGAGTGAACGATCATCGTCAACTTCAACATCATTGATTATTGGCATTATAGGAAATTCCACAAAAATTTCCATTATAGGAAATTCAATTTTACCGGAGATTAGGATCAATTAGAAACTTAACCACACCGCAGACTAACAAAATCATAAAAAATTTGAGAAAATCTAAACAAAACTTCAAAAATAGAAAACACAATTAAAACAATTAGAAAAGCACACATAATGTTACGTGAAAAAACTTTGAGAATTAGAAAAAATTACGGAGCCACATGATTCATCATAAATTTTACCATGAAATTTAGGATTCACACTAGTTTTCTTTTTATACAAGCAAACTTACGGTACTTGCGCTCTCAATCTTCCCTGATCCGATACAAGAATTACGCCGAATTTTCAAAATCAACATTTTCGACACTTCTTACATTCAGTGGAATGCTTGACGAAGAAGCTGAAAGAAGACCAAGTCTAGACTTCTCATCGCTTAAATTCAGACATGAAATCAAAACTTCTTACTATCTGTTGCCTACAAAAAAATGTTGCGCACATGCGCCTGATGCATCACACAAACCAACAAGGCATGTACTCCTTTGGTGATGTTCCACTTTTATGATATGGCAATTGAAAGCCACGTCTTTTTATCCAACGACAAATCAATTCAATCTCTTCCTTTGGCACTATGAAAGGGATTGCGATGAAACTAATTAAAGGTTCTACACCACTTATTCATTAAATTAGCTCAGATAAGAATAAACTAAATTAATTTAAAAACCTGCAACTTTTTTCAGCCATAATTGCAACTCCACAAAGTAACAAAACCCAATGAGATTCACTAAACTTGTACATCTTTTTATGTTATGCTTCGTTTTTCGTCGGAACTCAAGTACATTTACGATCCATTTGCTTGCTTGAAGTTGAAAATATATATTTTAAAATGTAATGAAATTTAGTAAATTCAACAATTTTGGTATATTTGACAATGAACACCAATTCATATCTTCAGAAGGAACTCTTCAGATGTAATAATTTTACTTTCACAATCAAAATGAGACAGAACAAAATTAAAGGTAAAAGAATTGTTGAGGCAACAAAGACATGATCATTTTTCATATTGTTCTCAAATATATCTTATGATACTATTTTTTTAGCGTAATGGAGAATAGCAAGAATATTTCTACTTGTTGTTTTTATAATTGTCCTTTTAGATGATATTGCTAAGTTTGTTGAGTATTAGTTATCGTGTTATTGTTATAATAAAGTATAATACATTTCAAATTCAAGGGGCTGTTCGGATTGCTATTATTTGTTTTTTTTTTTTTTTCAATTGGTGTGTATTTGGCTTCAAAAATGTCTGCCCAAACCCTGGTATTTTCTTAAATTTCATTTCAGTAATAGTTTTCTATTTTAATGGAAAATTTAAATATGGCCTAATTGTGGTGTGTTTTGTGAAAACAATGTGGAGGCATAAAAATTCTCACGACAACAATCAAACGAAAAAGATTTACGTGGTTCGGTGTTGAACCGATTCGCCAACATCCACGAGCTGGGAGATTTCATTAGCATCGGATGGGGAGAAATAAAAAAGGTTTTGAGTTACAACTCAATACTTCTCAACAATATAATTTTTACATGAGACTTATATTCTTTATATGGAAGAGGATTGTGTCATACATGAAAAGAAACAGAAAAGAAATAAATTAATTATAATATATAGGGATAATTACATATATATATATATATATATATATATATATATATATATATACTAGAAACATTGTTTTTAATATCCGACTGATGATTTGAACTATTAAATCAGTGCATTTAAGAGTTTAAATTTTTTTCTCTTTATCTCAGCCTTTGTTTTCTCTTTTATTTTATTATTAATGCTGGGCGAATAATAAAAATTTGAGTGCTAGAATGCATATTATATTGATTGAAAAAAAAATTAAAATGTCAAATTCGCTCATCTTACCCAAAAGTGATAATAATAATAATAATATTTGACTTAAGAGTTAATAATAATAATAAATATTTGACAAAAAAAATATATTGAACTAGCTCGGTGGTGGTGGCAGTTTGAAGTTGTTTGGACCACACTTTTGGGGTCAGGGGAAATTATTTTGTCTGATTTCTCAGAAAGTTGTTGTGGAAAAGTTAATTTTTACAATCTTACATGGCTAGGAGCATGTTCGGGGGTGTGGCTTCCTTTGGGGGCCCGGCTAGCCTCTGAGGCAAGACAGAGAATGCTAAGAACGAAGAAGGAGAAGTTTCGTGATCAATGGTTTTGGGAATGCCTCCAGACATGAAAGGGTAAAAACTCATTTTTTGTCGTTTCAAGACATAGCAGAGCAGTCTCGTTCCGGATGTCACTTTTGAGAGAAATATTTGCGTAAGAGTTGCGTACATATTAGGTTATTCGGAGGGTAGGTAGGTTACAGGAAGAATTATAAGGTGTATAACCTACGTGTAACCTACATGTACCCTCCTAATAACCTAATATGTACGCAACTCTGCGTACGTCAGACGTACGTAAATATTTCCCCACTTTAAATGTCAAAAGACGCTAAGTGAGGTGACTATCAGAAAGCTATTCTCCGACTTTTTCTCAAAAAAAAAAAAAAAAATTATGATCATCTTCTGAACTTCATAGTTACTTTTTCAAATAGTTAGAATTGCTTCAAATAGCAAGTCAATTGTCAGCAACGCTTGATTGCAGCAAATTCCTATTGCTATCATTATTTTTTTTTTCCTAAGAATAGAAATTATTCTAAATATTTAATTAATAAAAAACTGACAGTATCAATCACAGATAAGTACATATGATGTTGATCATAGATAAAAGAATATTTGATCTTTTAAAACTCATATTTCATAGAAAATGAGTTTTAAATTCGAAAATCAATATCTGAACTCATGTATCCAAAACATATATTTTATTTGAAACTATCTAAAATTACTAATTTTTTTATTAGATGCTACAGATTTAAATGATATATAAATAATTATCAAAATTTAAATATTAAATATATAAACACATAAAATTTGTGCCGTATATGTATAAATTCCCAAAAAGAAAAATAAATAAAATAAAGGGATCCTAAGAACATGAGAAAACTACACACTCTTTCTGAAGATATAAAGAATAAATTTCCTTAAAAAAAATGACAATTCTCTTTTTGAAGACATAATGAATCAATTTCTTACAAAGAATGAACTTAAGAAAAATTACATTAATCCTCACTTGCAGGCAAAGAATTGGATGTACAGAGCACTTTGTGCTTTTTGTCTATATGAAACTGCTACTGTTCTTCTTTCTGCTGTTCTTGCTGTTAAAGAAATGAAAGCTTTTCCTCTTCTAAGCATTTAAATTTTGAGGCCCGAGTCTTGTGAGCAATACTTCTAATGCTTCTCTCATCCAAGCATGTTGGCATCCCTCTCTCGCTTCGGCCACGCTCACCTGCTCGCCAAATTGTCGCAAAAAAGATTAAAAAAAACTAAATAAAAGATAAAGAGTTTATTTGGGATCAATTTTGTTTTTTATTAGTGTATTTTTAAAAGGTTGCATTATTTTCAAAGCTAAAAGATAAAGACATGTAAAAAAATGACATTTTTAAAAATAAAATAAAATAAATTAGAAAATAATCCCAAATATTTACTTCTAGAATAGAACATGATTCAAAATTTTCTTCTACTTACCCATCTCCTCTTCCGAACCTCCATCTCAGGCCAATTGGACAATTCCTCTGTAACATTCAATGGAAACATATGGCCCTCATAAAGCACATTGTATCTGTTGCTTATATACATCCATTTACCAAGTTTACTCTGTAATAAAATATAATATTTAGCTGAAATTACTCAATAACAGGTATTAAATTTAAATAATTATAATAATGGTGATAAATTATTATACTAACCTCAACATGTCCATTTACACCAGCTTCCTCCAATGCCTCCCTCAAAACTGCTTGTTTTATGGTTTCGTCGGATTCCCATCCTCCCTGAACAAAAATCAAGACAATTCATCAGCATAAGCTCCTGAAATAGATAACTAAAACAAAAGTAAAATTAATTTAGCTTCAAAAGTTGGATTTTTTGAAATTTTAAGATCTGAGAGGCTTCACTTTAGTTAGGATGATTCCATGGCAATTGAATATAGTTACTTTGCTTGTTACTTTTAATGGGTCTAAGAAAGCCAAAAATGGAGAAATTAGGATTCTATGGCATAGGAGCAAAATGTCATGAGGTCTTTCCCATTCCATAGTCTATAAAAAAGTTAATTCTAGTCCCCAGCAGTCCGCACTGAGGACTATTTCAGCCTGAATTTGATTAGTCTGAGAATTATTTTGACACTTCTATAAACTCTGAGACTAAATGTAATGTCCCTATATTAAATAGTAGGGATACTATTTTGGCAATTTAATCTTTGGTATAGACTACATAATGATCAAATTACCTTTGGAAACATCATCCCATGGCCCTTTTGTGAGCTTATGACAAGAACTTGCACCAATGTATCGATGTCCTCAGTGCAAGAATCATCCATCTTTAACCTATATGGAATGCACCTGTTTAATTCAAAAACAAATTTTAGATTGAATATAAGAAAAAGCTTACTGTAGAATTATGACAGCATTTGCTGCAGAAATTTTAGAACAGGAATTGAAATCAATGATTTTATAGCCAGTAGAGTATGAAATCAAAGATTATAAATAAATATAACATTAAAATATAAAAAAACAAGGCCAAAATTACAATGCATTTATGATTCATTCTTCAAGTAGAATGCAAGCGGAAAGCGATGCAGATTGGAAAACAAAACAATTTCTCCTAGGAATCGATGAAATGGCATTCATGTCAATCATGAATACGTATAAGATGGTAATAAAATAAAAATATAAAAGTCGCAAATTTATGCTATATGAAAGGAGTAAAGAGTTCAAAAGAAAGGAAAAAGCCCTAGCCCGGAGAATCTAGGGCAACGCAAATTGATCAATTGCCAAATAGAACGAAACCAAATGTTCAATGAAATCAGAAGCTAAAGCCCCACAAAACAAAAGCCAACCATGCCTGTTACAATCCAAGAACACAACTCACCCGACTACAAGCCTCCGACCGCAGCTGGAGTACCTCTGAAGTTCCCTTCCCTGCCTCGCCACCATCGTCGCCATCTTCTTCTCATTCTTCCCATCTTCCCCCTTCAGAAACCCCCAAACCCGAAAGAAGGAACGAGCACCCAACCAAGACGCAAAGGAAACCGACGCAGAAATCAAGAACCCAAACACCGCCAGTCTCGGAACAATCCTCAGTCCCACTCCACCCCCTATTCTCATCAAATCCATTAATAACAAGGGAATCTCCTTCTAGGCAAAAAAGACGAATCTTTTGCGAAATCGATGGCGAGGAGAAGGAAGTGAGCTAAAAGGCAAAAGAAGAAAGTGCGACTGCTATTCTCATGGCCTGTGGTGCGGCAGGCGTTATAAAGGGTTTGTTCCCCGGCCATGGGAAGCGCGTGTGGGGGCTTTCTGTGTTCCTTCTTCTTCTTCATCTGCTTCCTCTTACTTCTTTATTCGACCTGCTGCAGTTTTCCTTTGGGATCACATGAGGGTCGGAGTTTGTCTGCGTCGCCCACAGGGCCCCGCGTCGCACGCGGAACATTCCTTATCGGCATCTCTAGGGTTAATTGGACTCTTTACCGCCGACACGCTTGACAATTTATTTTTTTTTTATGCGATCAACCATTCTAATTGAAATATTTCACTATGAATAAGTGATTACAAATACAATTGTTTGTCTCACAGGCAGAAAAAGACTATAAAGAAGGCTAATCTCAAAAATATATAAGCTTGCATGATTCGAAATTTGTTTGATTTCCAATTAGGTCTCGAAAGCTTATAAAGTGGTTTAATGGCTTGATATAGGTTTGCTTTGACTCAGATTAGAACAATTTTTGTATACTTGTATACATCTCTATGAGCATGTCAATTTGATTATAATTTTGCTAAAATCACGAGTTCAAGATAAATTTTATTAGAAGTTTGAATGTTTCTTGTTCAAATCATTGTCTCGAGATCAATGTTATCCTCGAGATTTGTGTCAGATGATGGAAATTTATTGATGGCGCGTCATGGGTATTTACATACATACAATTCTTATGTATCTTTACATTTATACCACCCATCACGTAAACAAATACCACTATTTTAACTTCATTAAAAAAAATGAGATAAACCATCTTATGCAGACTATGCAAATACATAAGTATTGAGTGACCTGTATGTAAATCTTCCATATATATATATATATATATATATATATATATCGCTTTAACACAAAGAAAAATTAAAAGAGG